GTCTGGCCGCTTCTGATGTAACTAGATAACTAACACTTTCTAACATTGGTGTCGAATTGCCTCAAGAAACTATGGAATGACTCAGTGGGCAGAGTTTCAAAGATTTTTCTCCGCACTTCTTCTATGGACTCGCGGTGGTGTGGGAAGGGATCAGTCCACTATGTTTGCTAACGACTTGCAGCCGTGGGTATTCTAGTACGCTCAGAGAGATTACTATGAAGAATTTCGCATGAAATTGTCACGTTTGCATTCTGCAAGGTAGGAAAAAAGTTGCACGTCTCCACCCACATCTGCTCCAAACTTTCACTGCAAATTAGTAGTTGGCGCTATTGTTCCGTTCCTACCTAGGAGATTCAGGAGTTTGCACCAGACCTAGCTTGACATTCTCTCCTACATCCTAATATTGTGCAGAGTCTGCCACTACTGCTAGCACGTGCGGTCCTTCCTTAAAGTCATGATCACTCACAGTTGCCGTGAATATCTGTCGAACGTGACATCCTGCAGAGCTGGTTGCATTTATTCTCAGCTCACGAATTACCCACGGCTACATGTCATCGGGGAACTCTGTAATCCGTGCCTACGCAAACGTGCATCTGTGCAGGAACAGAAGAAACAAGGGAAACCCTCAACTCTCACGCTTATTTTCTCTCAGAGACTTATCGCAGACTTCTCTCCCGTTGAGACAGATTAGTTAGAAAGGATAAAAAAACTGGCCTCACATATGATCATTTTGAGATGTAGACTATTCCCAGATATGTATCATGCTACCATCTTTCTCATGTTCTGAAAGCCCACGATGATTTCACAGTTCAGAGGCAGAGTAAGGCTCGAAATATTTGAAGACAAACTTACCAAAAGGCTTGAAAGATTTAAGAAGTCACAAAGTCCTCTCCCTGTAATATTTCTTTGCTCAACACTTTCGTAAGGACTCTAGTACTTCTTTGCTGATGTAGTCAGCAGGGTATCGTGTAAATTCCGAACATTGAAGGCAAACTGTACACTCATCTCCATAGATCCTGGCCCCTGCCATGTATGGGGTAAATGGGTCTGTCTAGTAGTGGCGTGCCCCTTTCTCCGATCAAAAGTGCACGGGAACGGGGCTGCATGGTAGTGAAACTCGATCGCAGCTTCCGTGTTCCGCCCGCGCTGCTCCACGTCTAGCCACAAGCCTAACTGTAGCCAAACGCGCTACTAGTCTACGCCCGCAAACTTCTGATTGTTCTTTACCGTTGAGTGTATATTTCACTGTGGGACCTTATGATTAGTACCGAACAGTGGTTTATGGGGACGGGCACCCTCCGACACCAATCGTGCATTTCTGAGCTCATAAAGGGCACGTAGCGTGCTCTTCGCACACGAAAGGGGATGTTCTCGCAGGTGCGTGTTCAGCTTGTCTCCGAAGGAACTTATAGGGCCTACCTGACCAATAGGGAATTGCTATGAAGTGGCTGACCCATGATAGTCATATCCCTCAAGAGTTGATAAGCTGTTTGAATCACGTAGCATTCTGTTTGCTAGGTTATCTCTTCGCTGTACCTTACAGCAAAGAGATAACCTATGATACACTGGGAGAATTGACCAATTTATTACGCTTCAATGAACGCTGAGCGATGTCATACTTGAACAAGTAATATGGGGTGAGTAGAGGGGTATTTTCATGACTATATACATCTTCTTGGAGTACAGCAGTGGAGCTTGATGTATGGAACTCTTCGGCGGTCGTACTTGGTCGCCGGGTGAAGGGAGTCGTATTCGGCCCCGGAGTTCCCCACCATCGTGCTGACAAACCACTATTTTTGATAATTGATCGGAAGTATCTAGTCACGGGCGGTAATGCGGTACTATCTTCGGAAGG